AACAGTTCCCACGATTGCTTACTTTTGCGACTAACATGATGCAGTAAAGGAGCTAAACGAGAGCACTGTGTACTCATCATCAATAATCAAGCGCAGCAAAGAGCAAAATGCCGGTATGCCAGTTCCCCCGTCTCCTTCGGCTGCGCTTTGCTTTTCCATGGGGATGCACACATGGGAGATCTCAATCGACATGGTCCATATGGCAGACGGGGGGAAGGGGGAAGGGGGAAGGGGGAAGAGGGAAGGGGGGGGAGCGAGAAAAATGGCCCTCCTTCAAATGCCGGGGAGGTTTCCAGATGCATGCCTCCTCCCTCTTCCTCTTCTTCCCCTCAAATTTTTCGCTTTCTCAAATTTGATTTTCTTTGCGGGGAGGAAGGGCATTAAAAGGTCTCGACTCCGTTTGTGGGGTCATTAATTCCATTCTGGGCAAATGAATTACATTTTTTAAAATAAAAATTATGCGAAGTCTCAAACAAACGCACGTTTGAGATCTGAGATCCCTTCCATAAATAATGGATAAATTCAGACATAAACCTAAATGGAAAGTTTACAGTCAAAAGAGACTGAAGAAATGATGAAATATAAAACATTTTTGAAGATTAAATGTCTGTTGAATTTTAATTAATTTTTTTTTTGCCTCGTCTACCAAATGAAAGGAGTTCCACGGATGAAAAAGCCTGGGCAATGAGTCTCGTCCAATAGTGATTCTAATTCCCCTGTAATTACACCCTTGTATCCTCCCCTCAGTTCCCATCCCTTGGGTCTCTCTCTTCAAGGGCAGAAGCGATAAAAACGGCATACCTGGGCAAAGAATTCGTCCATGAATCCATCCCGGCCGGCGTCGACGGTTACGGCCACGTCCGGGCCCGTATCCTCGTCGTCGCTCTGCGCCTGCAAAACAGCAACACCAAAAAATCCATTTAGTCATGAAGGTATCCTTTAAAATAAGTTATAAATAACTGCCACATGGATTTAGCTGATCAAAAGGAACAATAATCGCTAGAAGCGAATTCAACTGAGATTAAGCATTTTCCCTTCGCGTGGAACATTATTTTTACTAGTCATGGACTAGTAAAAATAATGTTAAAGGCCATATGAATTAGTTAATGAATTAGCATGACTGAGTTCGGGAGTTCACTTTGAAAGGATGTCCGAACTTGTGATAGCCGAACCAATTTCGTTTGATTCGAGGAATAAAAGTAAAAAATTAAACGTTGAAATGAATCGCATTCGTTAAACTCCATACGCATCTGACTTAATTTCTGAGTCCCTAAGAAAATGAATAGGCTTGGTTAAACTGAGCCACATGATCGAAACATAAGACACGTTTATGGCCAACATAGGGCAACGCCTTGAACGAGTTCGCAGTTATAACTACCTTGGCTTTGTATTTTCTGCAAACGGCAGATGGAGCAAACATCGAGCAAAAAACGTTTAATAAAAGCTAAAGTTGCACTGCATGGGGTCTCTCGATCTACAAAAAGAGCCCGGGCACTACCCATGAAGAGCTGCTTCTTGCTATTTGATGCCCTTGTGCAGTCAGTCTTTGAATATGGAATTGAGTTAGTCCACCATCAGAGTTTTGGAGGTCTGGAATCACTGCAAGCCCGCTTTATTAGAGAATTGCTAAGACTTCCACAATCTTTTCCCACTTTTGCTTTACTAGTCATATTCAACCCACCAGCTATTATGTCGGTAGTGGTAAGGCGAAAACTAAGATTCTGGATCAAAATCAAAAACTTATCAAATGAAAGACTAACTCGAGCTGCTTACACGGAACAGTTAAATCTTATACATCGCAAAATACCATGTTGGGCCAGTGATCTACGTGATATACTATATCATAATGGCTTTTCACATGTATGGAATTTTGGCCTGCCTAATTTAGCACTTATACCACATATAGGTGAATCTGTACACATCAGAGATGCCATATCTTGGTACCACCGGTTGCAAACTTCCAAATGTGCATACATATTCCTCAATAAGGATACAGTTGTTCACACAGTGGAACGCATCTTAGAGCAAGGAAGGATGGCTGCACCAATACTCCGTCTGCTATTCTCCCAGTGGCAATGGCCAACCATAATAGATAGATATGGAGGATTGCTATGCCCAGGTTGCCACTTGGAAGAAAACCTAACTCACTTCTTACTTCACTGCGAGTACACGGCTGATATATGAGCACAACATGAACAAAATTGGACCTTGGTACATGAAATAGGAGTAGTTGAATTTTTTAAAGTATGTTTCCTTCAGAGACCTTTCAAAGGCTTTATTTCACTTCCTTTCTCGGCGTAAAGACGCCTTCTGTGCTGCTGATGAAGCATAACATAACCCCTATATACTCATATACAGTGATACAAGACTGACGCACTATACCCTCGGAGGCACACAATCACCTCTCCCACAGACTTCTCACTCCTGTTCTGTTACATGTCATTTAAGTTGCAATACATTTGTATTCGATCTAAGTAAAAGAGTATTACTAACCTCTCATGGTTTACTGCAACATTTTGTTTGTTTTGTTTTTTTTTTTCCTACTGCACCTGATATAGTCATTGCTTCATCAGGAATACACATGATGATGATGCTGATGATATATAACACACGTTTATGGCCAACATATGCAGTGCGTGTCACCCTCAGCATCGGATGATGTGGATTGAAATTGAGAATTTCCAAAAATACTTCGAACGAAAAATACAGAAAATAGATTCCATTGCTGGCAAAATATAACAAAATAATTCAGCATAAGAAAATCTGAATGGGAATGCTTGGAATCAACGTCACTGAGGTTTATCTAATGCCTTTATCAACGTTCCTATTTTGTCCCTCCTGTTCACACCTATAGATTATCTCCAGTATAGAAACCAGATATCTCCTGCGACAGACAGCATGATTCAGGCGCGTGAGATAACAACCATGAGTCACTCGCCACACGATTCGCCCGTGACACTGCATTCCAATCACGTTACGGCGAGAAGACTCGAGAGCTGCGAGAGGTTGCGACGCACGCCCGCGAACAGAGGGTGTCCGTTGTTGAAAGATATAACAATGTGACCCAGACAAACAAAAGCATTCCCTCTATTCATCGTCGGGCTCCATTGTCTCCAGGCTCCAATGGAGGGAATGGGAAGGGCATGTAGCCGAGGGAGTCCCACGGGAGAAGCAGAAGACGCAAATTGGACAAATACACTGGATATAAGGCCGATCCTCTATATCCAGGGAGGGAAGAGTCAAGGCAGATCCCATATCCAGCGAGAGGAGAGGAGGAGCTCGAGGGAAATCGCCTGTCTCCCTTCGCCCATACATTCCCCAGATATGAAAGCCCATAGATCACAATCTCATCTCGAGTACTTTCTCAGGCAACATTCGTAATGCAGTCCCCACTGGATGCTGGAGAGCCATGATCACATGGTACTGGGATTCCAGCATGCGCATCCAGTTCTCAGACCGGTCGATGGGCTCTTCGTCACTGTCTGACTTCAATTTCGCATGTTCCAATCTCTCTTTACATTTTAGTAGATCGCGAAAAGCTACTTCAGTGAAATTTCCAAGCAGGCCATTAACCCCGAAGTACTTATTATATAAGATATAAGATCCGACAAACATTCGGAGAAACTTATGTTGTAAAACCCCAACCCAAAAAGTTCGATACAGAAAAAAAAAAGGTTATTAATATCAGCAGAATCCATATTGTGGCATACCCAATGCTGATAGGACCTAGACAATGAGTACGGAGTGCGCTGGAAAAATAACTACAAAAAACGGTCACGTCTGAGGAAAAGATGTCTGAACAATTTTTATCTTATGCATTTTGTGAACGCTACAGGGTTCATATCCACGTGGAATAAATTTGGGATTTCCCATGTGACCCAAGTGGATACACGATGTTTCCTCAATGCATCTATTCCACCATCCCATGCACATTTCGGGGTGAGACACAAAATGTAAGAGATGGACTGAGATGAGAGGAGTCCCACTCACCGAAGCAAGAGCGCGATTGATAATTCTGCACTGGGTCAACGAGTGCCATGAAAAGGCTGAATGTTTGGCATTTCATTCCATAGTTCTCATCTGATGCCTGAAGTTTAACTGTCTGAAAGTACTCTAAGCAAGAATCCAAGTACCACCGTCCAAGATGGAAAGGCATTTTTCAGCTGATGTTGCAAGAATAAAACAGAGCAATTGGACAGATAACATGATTGAGATATATACAATATTTACCCAGCATTACTTTCCCCCTGAGCTGAAGTTTATCAGTTCACTTGCACAAGAGAAGCAAAGTCTGGCATGGTATACAACACACAGGTTAACAGGAATGGGGTTCCACTAAGACAGGGGCGTCAAACTGGCGGCCCGCGGGCCCGATCCGGCCCGCCAGTCAATTTTGTTCGGCCCTCGAGGTCCTCTTCAACAGTCGGTTACGGAAAAGTACTGCAAATTTCAGCCTGTCTGCATAAAAGATTAGGAATATGGCTTTTGTTGTGGCCCCTGAAGGCTTCCATCCGGCCCCCCGGCCTTATCGAGTTTGACACCCCTGCACTAAGAGATATACGTAACCATACAACATTGGCAGTTTAGCACATCTCCTTTCCTGCTTCACACACCAGGTGTCCCAAAAAAGATGTTACATTCGGGAAAAATGTAATAGCCCTTTCATGCATGGTGTCCACTATAGGGGACGGCAAAATTGTTGGCGATGATGTTTTTTTTTTAGCCATGATACAATGTATCATTGTATCACCACCTTCATTTTCCACTTGATACTTTTGGTATATAAAGTCAACTCCAAAAAAAGGCATATTTTTCTTTAGCTCGAAAAATTCATGCATCAACCCAAGGAGAATAAATGTGAATTCTCCACATGTTGCCCACTAACCCAGTAACACAAGATACAATGTGTCATGTGTTCAAGAACTCAGTGGCCAAAAGTCACTACTGAAAGGGTTTTTTTCAAAATGTAACATCTTTTTGGGACACCTAGTACAATGGGTGCCTCATAGCAAGCTGGGCATTGCTTATTCAATTACTTTTCCCCATCCCAGCTGCAGGAGAAGCTTAATCAAATTAATTATAATGAATGTGGCAAAAACTTCTTGCTATGAAAAAACCTCATAATACCAACTCTTTTCTTCTTTGATAGTCTTTTCTAATATTCTTCCTCATGGAAGAGACCAACAGTGCTCACAACATTTTGATGGCATTTGATAACTTTAAATGTCATGACAGGATGGCAACTCATACTTCTGGAATCCACAAAACAAGCTTTGCTTACTCAGCATATGAAAAAAAAAGGCAGTGTGTCACTGAATTTCTCCAGGAATTTCATTTTCCACATTTGCCCCATGTAGTGTAAGTCATTTGATTCCTGTAAAGATTGGTCATTGCCCAATGTTCCACCATGCAGTAATAATGGCTCCTACAATTGCAGCTGGAGTAGTTTCCAGCCAGGACCACAAAGAGAATTATGTAATTGGAGTCCTGTGGGAACCAGAAGCCACAAGATGGTTTCATGCTGAATAGCACAAACTTCTCGATTCCTTCCTCCTTCCACTAGTGCTTCTTGTCTATACCTTCCAGGAGCAGAAAAACTTCCCCAGAAAGTCTTGGAATATACTGGTAACAAGAACAAAGTAACAGCAACAAACACGACTGCCTGAAAATTTTCCCATTATGTATCATTAACAATGAAGTCCACAAGTGAGGACTGACAGCTTCTCTGTCTCCACAAAAAAAAAAAAATTCTAGGAAAGCTAGGGGGACATATAAAGAATTGACAATGGCAACTATTTTATTCATGTCTGGGAGGTCATCTGTCACTTATCATGTGGGGATGTCACATCCCAACACTTTATATTAATGTGTTGATGTTGAGCCTGCCATTTTAAAAAGCATACAATCCTTGATACTCTGATAGAACATTCCAACATTTCCATTCAAGCATTAATCATCCTTTCTGGGAGTATTATATTTAACTATGGACAAAATGAACACTAGGATGAAAACCTAGAATTTTAAAGATAAACAAGGCCAAAAGCATGCCCCACATTGATGACCGACATGCATCCACCTGCCACACACAAATTGTCTCTATTTGTCTCTTCAAACTAATTCCCAGACACTCTATGACTTTTGTGATGGCTATGGAAAACAAAAGAACTCAACATGAGAGATTCAGTCTTCACAATCAGTACGAATGTATGGCAAACCCCATCCCACAGATCTTTGACAGCCTCAGACAAGGGCAGTGAGAATGCTTTGATGAGATGAACATGTAAAGGTCCCAAAAGCACAGGCATACACACCTGTAAGCTATCTGTAGGACTGATCAGTAATGATTTCATCTTGAAAAAGGAGCATACCATTTCAGAACAATGTAATTTCCTCTGGCTTCCCTTCCCAATAAAAGTGAATTCATTTCATGCCATGCTCAAAAATGGGTTAGAACAACCTCATGGAAACCTTTAATAAAATATTTTTAAAGAGAGGAGTTGGGAAGAATATACAGAGTCAGAGTTTCCACAAGGACACAAAATTTGGTATATGGTCATTACATTTTCCATCATGCAAAATAATTTAGGGCAGGTTCTTCCCTCATATGGCAATGGCATTAATGTTGCTATGTATCAGCTCATCAGTTAGAAAGAGGCAGAAATATTGTACACAGGTTTATCAACTCATCACACGTGGCCAATAGGAATTTCCTCTCATTTATGACAGCCTGTTTTACAGCAGAAGCTTTGGCTACATGCCTAAATCTGCCTGAGGTATCTCACAGTCAACAATTTGTGAGCCTAATTGAGATGTAGTGCTCCACAAATCAGTAAAATTACTTCCAATTCCCAAGCTTCAGGTGACAAATAGGAATGAATGCAACATAATGTACTTGTAATGCCTTGTACTGAGATCAAATTGGTTAACATTTTGACTGGTACTATTGCATATATACATCAGTCATGAATCTCTGAAATGGGCAAGCATTATTTTGGTACTGAAAGGGTTCAGCAAGCTCCCATCCCATTGTATCGTATTGTGCACGCAAGGATGAACTTAATCCTTTAATAAGATTTCTGCTTGCAAGACAAGGCCCCCAGGAAATCCCTTAAGATGTCTCCTTCATCCTCAGAAGCAATTATAGCCATCATCCAAGAATGATGCAAATTGCATTTAAGAGATGATGTTATAATAGTTTCTCGATTGCCACACCAGCTACCGGCTACCCTTAAAGCAAATGCAAGCACCACATCCATAGAGTTCCATGGGGTAGTCCAGAGGATGGCAGGAACTCCCATCCCGTGCTTTAATTATTCTTTTCTTCTCCCTGAATCTCCTTGCCTCCTCCTCCCTTTTCATGAGGCATGAATGTGCAATAATGGGGAAGTGGGCTGAGCCAGAGGAAAAGCGTTCATTCATGCTGACCTTGGGTGAAATGCCCACAGTGGTACGAGCCAGACACGGGTGGCTGAGATCACTGGGATTAGATGCACAAGTCTAACCCCAGGTTTGGGGGTGAGGGGTAGAGCATATTAAGGGAAAAGGACAGCAAGTCAGTCTTTCATGCTTGCATTCTGTTTTTAAGAAACCTTACACACATGCCATCTGATATGATTGCACATAATATAATACAACAAATCTATATATGCACAAAGAATGAAATTTTTTATGGAATGGGGGAAAAAAGTGGGAATGACAGTTACATGTCATTCCCAAACAATAACATGAGTATAACACTCATGTTATTGTTTCTAATTCTTTCTTCTAGGGTGGCACAAATGTTTGCAGATGGCTGTGGGCACAAGAAATGAGTAAACAAGATGGGTAAATGGAAGCACAGCAGTAAGCCTCCACTGAGAACATCATAATTCATAGCAACAAAATAATAGGAATATATAAAAAAAAAGCTCATATTCATGCATAAAATTCACATTCATTATACATGATCTTCTCAAATGGCATGTCTGAATAAATATACACATTAAATAATTTTTTCAAAATTTCCAATTTTAAAACATGAATACTTCTAATAAACGTCTCCTGTTATTATTGCATGTGAGAATGTGCAGTAATACATCTAAAAAGGATGAGATACACGAAGTGATGAATGATATTTTTTGCACTTCAGGGGCTTCTGAGCAGACGTGGAACATTGTGACACATTGTGGCACATTGTGACACATAAACCCATTCATGAATCATACCATGCTCAAAACCAATACATGACCTTTTCTGAAGTGCAAATACCAAGACAGATGGTGCAATTATGTCAAGAAGGGCCAGGACAACTTATCTTCTAGCCTGTCCAGTCCCAGAAAAGAACCAGGTGGCATACACCCTTAATGGGGTGTCTTTCTTATAACCTGTCAAAGCCTGTCAAAGCCTAGAATGAGATGGGATAGTCAAGAAAAGGGCCACAAAGGCATACTTGGTAACCTAGTTTT